ACGAAAACAAATTTATAAGATCCTTCAGCCATTTGTTTTAGTCCGGAACAAATATCAAGTTTTTCTTTTGTCAATTTCAATTTCATATAGTCAAAGTACAAGTACAACTGTTGAGAAATCTGGGTTTACATCCACAAAAGTACGTATTTTTATAGAAATTTGGGTTTCTTGATCAGCCAAGTTGGATTTTGGCTCCGTCCTTTGAAAAACAGACTTGGATGTTATGGAATAGACCTTTGTGAGTTCATACGTTTTGAAGCCAGGTTGGATTTCAGTTCAATCTTTTGAAATTTGTACTTGGATTTTGTAGAATGGAACATGCTGAATACCGGAAGGACGAACCTGGTTAATATTCACAAAAGAAGGTATTTTCATAGAAAATTAATTTTTCTGTTTTTCCGAACTGAATTTTGGCTTCTATCTTTAAAAAATAGGCTTGTATTTTAATAGAAGTTGCTGAATCCATACGTGAGGGTTGAATTTCTTAAATTTTTGAGAATACCGAGTTTAAATTTACAAAAGTACGTATTTTCATAAAAACTTTGATTTTCTGTTCTGCCAAGTTGAATTTCGGCTCCGATCTTTGAAAATAGACTTGAATTTTATAGAATGGACTTTGCCGAATCCATACCTGATGGTAAATTTTTTGAAGCATGCACAATTTTTTAGAAAACTGGGTTTGAATTCTCAAAAGTACGAATTTTTATAGAAATTTGGGTTTCTTGTGCAACCATGTTGAATTTCGGCTCCTTCCTTAGGAGTGGATTTTACCGAATTGCTGAATCCATCCGTATTTTCATAGAAATTTGGTTTTTCGGTTCTGCCAAATTGCATTTTGGCTCATATCTTTGAAAAATAGGCTTGTAATTTTTAGAATGGACCTTGCTGAATCCATACGTGAAGGTTGACCCGGGTTTGTAATTCGAAAAGGTTTTTTTTTTGGTTTTCCTTTTCTGCTAAGTTGGATTTTGATACTGTCCTTTGAAAGTTATGCTTAGATTTTATAGAATTGACCTCATATGTGATGATTATTTTTTTAAGCACACCCAAAGTCAGGTTTAAATTGACAAAGTTGCGTATTTTTGTTAAAATTTGGTTTTTATGTTCAGCCAAGATGGATTTTGGCTCCTTTTTTTTAATATTACGCTTGGATTTTGTTGAATAGACCTTCCTGAACCCATAAGTCTAGTTAGATTTTTTTTGAAGCACGAACAATTTTTAAGAAAACTGAGTTATATTTGGATAGGGAGGAAGTATCGCAAACAGAACGTTTTTTTTTTTCATAAGAACTGTTACGTTTGTGGTATTCCGTTTGATGGTTTATCCGAAATTTATCAATACCCAAAAATCAATTGCTTTGATCCTATTCATCTACATTATTACCAATGTTCTTCCTTGAAAGGATACAAAAACTTATACGTTAAATGTCTTGTGGATAACTCGAGTGTTACACATAATAAGGTCAACATTTAGGGCATTAGTGTCAAAAATCACGACTTCAAAGAAGTATAAGGCTAAAGCGGAGGCTAAGAAAAAATGTTAGCGTTTGAAATATACGGTTTAGATATAATGTAAAACGAATTTTAAATGTTTTATTATTATTTTTTTTTGTTTATTTTTTATCCCCCCCCCTCCCCCTCCCTTGACTGGTGCGAGCATGGAGTGACAAAAGAAAAACTTGTGATTTGTTCCGGCCTTATTAAAAAAAAAAGATTTCAAATGCTCATGGTGGTTTAAGAATTTAAGAAAGATCGCATTCAACGACAGATTAGATCCATATCTTCAAAATATTTCTGATCAATAAATGTCACTATTGGTCACTTTGTTATTGTTTTAAAGTCACTATTTGGTCACCGTTTTTCGTTATACGCCTTTTTAATAGAAACTAATCGATCGATTCAACCTCTGGTGGTGAATATGAGAACGTCAAAAAGAGTGTTGCGAGCAGAAATTTTTGCCGTGAGACATTGGAAGCGTAACACCTTTTCACTTTTCCTGATAAATTGATTCATCTGAGATGCTCAAAAACTTGATCTTTAGTTGAAAAATTTAATTCTGTAACATTTTTACAAGGATTCTGCTAGAGTTCAGGAATATTTTTGTTGAGAAAAATGCAAAATTCCAAAAGTGCCTTAGTGGTTATGATCTTCCGGATTCCTTGTGTGTGAATAGTTTAGGTGCAAATCAGTTCAGATGTGTGGAAAATCGTAAAATAAGACAATTACCGATGGAAACTGGCAAGATGTTTAATGAAAAATGCTTTAACTATTTTTGAACGCCTTTTTTGTTTAAGGTAGAGTTTTTTTAAATAGCCGGCTTCCTAAAGATCGTGCCATTCGTGTCTATCCCAGCTCTTTTTATCGCACCTTCTAACGCGATATTAAATAGCAGACACGAAAGTCCATCACCATGTCGTAACCCCCTTCGAGATTCAAAGGGACTCTAGAGTGTCTCCGATACTCGAACAACGCACATCCTTCGATCCATCGTTGCCTTGATGACCAATCGCGTCAGTTTATACGAAAATCCGTATTCGTGCACATTTAAATCGGCCGTTACAGATTTTCGAACAAAAGTTAAGTTTAAGATTCTTGTCGGTGAAGGGGCTACGTATAAGTATTCTATTTGCTTGCTTAAATGTCTGGCATCACAGATCCGAACCATGATCGATGTTGATGATCATCATCATCGTCATCGCAGTCGGAATCATTATTGGTGTGTTGATTTTGTTTGCGTTTGTTACGTGATAAAGTGAAGGAGGGAAGATTTTTTACTTTTTTTTTCACACATCGAAACACCGTTGTAGTAAATATACACGCTAACTTGAAAGTACCCGTTAATGGGTAAAAAATGACCCATTTTGAAGACAAGTGGCTTAACACATTGATGAGTATTTTTTTATCCATTAATGAGTATTTGTTACCTATAATTGAGTAACTATTACTCCATTAATGGGTAACAGTCACTTATTAATGGGTAACAGTTACTCATTAATGGGTAAACAATTTACTCATCAATGAGTTAAGCCCCTATTCTTCGAAATGAATCTTTTTTTTTACTTTCAAGTTAGCGTGTAATCTCCCGGCTCAGAGACAGTCGTCAACGCCAACCCCATCACCACAGACAAACAGACGTAACTCTTTCTTCTCAATCGTGCTGGCGTCGGATCACTTTGACGTTTCTCTACATGCAACATTGCTTGAGACTCACGAATAACTCGCGAGATGTCGGTAGTTAGTGAACATTTATTTAAAGAACTACGTCTGTTTGTGTGTGCCATCCAACCGGCAAAACTGCCTTTCTCCCATCTCTCACTTGGTTCGTTTTGTGGTGTTCCTTCATTCGTTCAAATTGTTTTACCTAATCCACTCTTCACGGAGAAATAAGCATATACAGTGCCTTCCCGTTTTTAGCAACACGTGATTTTTATCTGCTTTGCTGTCTATAAAATCCAATCAAAGTGTCGATTGACTAACAAATGGCGCGTGGGTGATCTAAAAACTCTAGGTGTCGCATGACCAGTTTTGGCTTTGCTTTGATTCGCCAATTTGCAGTTGACTATTATTTAGGGGTTGCAGATGGTTGGTATTTCATGAACAAAAGGGGCCGGAAAGCTCTACCATAAATATGGGGAAAATAAAAGCTGATATTTTAATTTGTAATTTGTATATTCCCTTATGAAATTTGTATGGTTATTTTGCTTAACGACGTGTTTCGGGTATCATCCAAACCCTTTGTAGAATAGTTCAATCATTTGGGTAATCATTATTTTATGGTATTTTTTATTAGGGTTTATTACTCTATTACTCTAATGCAAAACTACCATAGGCGAACGATAAATGATCGATCTATTCCACAAGAAGTTTAGATGATACCCTGAACACGTCGTTAGGTTAAGCAAAATAACCATATAATTTGTATTAGGGCAACCTATCTCAGTTGACAAACTTTTCATAAGTGAAGGAAGAGTTTTCTGGAGAAATACATAACTGGATATGTAAATTAACTACATAAATTAAGAAAAAAAAATTAGTAGCAAGAAGCTACTAGAAACTACAGTGAATTAATCATGTTTTGTTGTTTTTGTCATCATCCACATCCAGAGGGCCAGTCACTTTCGAATGTATGGAAACAATTTTTTCTTCTTTCCTTTATTTAACGTCGGTCTCTGTTCCGCAATCTAGTGCCAATCACCGACGGACATCGATTGCCATCCATTGACGGCAATCGAATGTGCAGGAAGGCAGCTTCCTCACCTGCGTAGGATATCGCACCCATTCAACACACATGGGCCGAGACCAACGGCTTTACTTCCCTTCCGAAGGAAGACGTGATCAGAGATTTTTATGCCTCAGAAAAATCCCACCGACCTCGGCTGGGATTGAACCAAGACCCATTGGGGTGTTAGAAAGCAGTCACGCTTACCACTACACCACCGGCGCCGGCGGAAACCATTTGGAAATGCATGAAAATTTTAAGTTTTTTTTTTCATTATCGTCTTTATGGGCAGTTTTAGATGCACAAAAATTGCACGAGTACATTACTATGGTGATAAGGTAAACACTCGTTTATTTGTTTCCTTCTGTGAAAGCATGTTTAGTCACAAATCGTGGATTTTCTGATGTTCTCCATACTGCAAAGATGATTTTCCTACCACTGAAGGGGCGACATCTCTCGGATCTTCAGTATAGCTACTACTCAAATCATATAATTAATTATGGAAATTACGGAGGTCGTGTTGCCAAAATCGGGAAGACACTGTACAATACATACGTATATGCGGTAAGCTGTTCACTACACATCCACCCAACCGGTTTGTGTATTTGTATGAGCAGAGCACTTCCTTCCAATTCCCACCCTTCATCTATCGCTCCTACCGAACCGAGGGGGGCACATGTGTCAGTCCATTTTGAATTCTACTCTCAGTCACAGCACATCGTCGCCATCACCAGCAGCGATATGTTAATATTTGAAGTTTTACTTTTCACCTTTGCCTTCAGGTTCTGTCCGGTGATTCCGTGATCATCCGTGGACAGCCGAAAGGAGGACCGCCACCGGAGAAGCAGCTCAACTTTTCCGGAGTGATTGCCCCGAAGCTCGCCCGCCGACCGACCAATAATTCCACGTGAGTTTTACCGCAAGTACATTTTGATCATAACCTCTGTTTTGAACCGACTGTTTCTATTTGCTTCCATCTAGGGAAATTTCCAAGGATGAACCGTACGCTTGGGAAGCTCGCGAGTACCTGCGCCAGCGACTGATCGGCCAGGAGGTGTACTTCCATGCTGAACGACCACCGAATGCTACCCGCGACTATGGATACGTGTGCATCGGCAAGGATGCTGCCTCCTCGGAGAACATCGTTGAATCGATCATATCCGAGGGTTTGGTGAGTGTCCGTCGTGAAGGTGTCCGCCAAACGCCCGAGCTAACCCGCCTCTGTGAGCTGGAAGATGCCGCCAAGGCAGCTCGCAAGGGTAAGTGGAGTGACTCGCCTTCGTCGGAACACGTGCGTAATGTCACCTGGAACATTGAAAACCCCAAGGCATTTTTCGATCATCACGACGGTAAGCTGATCAAGGCGATCATTGAACATGTCCGTGACGGATCTACGGTGCGTGCATTCCTCCTGCCTGAATTCCAGCACATCACTCTGATGATGTCCGGAATCCGATGCCCCGGCTTTAAGCTGGATGCCGACGGAAAGCCCGACACTAACGCCGAAGTGCCGTTCGCTGAGGAAGCTCGCTACTTTGTCGAATCCCGCCTGTTGCAACGTGAGATCGAAATCCGATTGGAATCGGTTAACAATAATAACTTTGTCGGCACGATTGTCTTCCCCAAGGGCAACATTGCTGAAGCTCTGCTCAAGGAAGGTTTCGCCAAGTGCGTTGAATGGAGCATGCCCTACGTGAAAGAAGGTGTCGATAAACTCCGAGCGGCCGAGAAACATGCCAAGGCAAATCGCTTGCGTCTGTGGAAGGACTATCAGGCCCCAACCGCGGCGTTCAACAGCAAGGACAAGGATTTCTCCGGAACCGTGACGGAAGTGTTCAACGGTGATGCCATTATGGTCAAGATTAGTCCCACCGTATCGAAGAAGGTGTTCCTGTCGAGCATCAAACCGCCACGTGAGGCTGCCCGTACTGCCGACGAGGAAGGAAACCTGCCACCTCGCCCGAAGGGATCCCGCCCGCTGTACGACGTCCCATGGATGTTCGAAGCTCGTGAATTCCTGCGCAAGAAGCTGGTCAACAAGAAGGTCAACTGTTCGTTGGATTACGTGACCCCAGCCCGGGACAACTTCCCCGAGAAGTGCTGCTACACCGTGACGCTGTCTGGAGCGTAAGTATCTTTTCTCATATTCCCTAAAGTGGATATCCATCACATACGTTAAAGGCTTCCTGCTTCAATGGGAAGTCCATAATTATGGGGTGGTAAAGCAAATCCAACAGTCGCTCTAGACTCTAAGGGCGAAGCATGTGTAAAGATTGCTCACTCTTACCATTGATGCGATACAAATAACTTCCCCCAAAAAATAAATTGTCTCACTGTCAGCGTGTACTTGACTCAGTTTTTCTTCTCCTCCCACACAGTAACGTGGCGGAAGCCCTGGTAGCCAAGGGTTTGGCCACGGTGATTAAGTACCGTCAGGACGATGACCAGCGCTCGGTCCACTACGACGAACTGCGTGCCGCCGAAACGCAAGCCATGAAGCAGCTGAAGGGCGTTCACGCCAAGGATGACATTCCGACGCACCGCATCAATGACCTAACGATGGATCACTCCCGCATCAAGCACCAATATCTGCCCTCGTGGCAGCGTGCTCTGCGTACCGAAGCCATCGTTGAGTTTGTTGCCAGTGGTTCCCGTTTCCGTATCTACTGTCCAAAGGACAGCTGTCTGGTGACATTCTTGCTGGCCGGTATTTCATGTCCTCGTTCATCCCGCCCTGCCCTGAGCGGTATCCCTGCCCAGGAGGGAGAACCCTTCGGAGACGATGCACTCCAGTTCAGTCGCGAACGCATCCTGCAGCGTGACGTGAGCGTGAAGATTGAAACCACCGACAAGGCAGCCACCAGTGTGATCGGATGGCTGTGGACCGAGAACAACGTCAATCTGTCGGTTGCACTCGTTGAGGAAGGTCTCGCATCGGTGCACTTCACCGCCGAGAAAACGGAACATTTCCGTGCCCTCAGCGAAGCGGAATCCCGTGCCAAGTCCAAGAGGAAGAACATCTGGAAGGACTACGTGGAAAAGGTCGAGGAGGACAATAAGGAGAACGAAGACGAAAAGGAAGACCCAACAGCCCCCGCCGATCGTAAGGTTAAGTACGAGAACGTGGTCGTTACGGAAGTAACCCCGGAGTTGCATTTCTACGCCCAGCACTCGGATCAAGGTGGTAAGCTGGAAGAACTCATGACCAAGCTGCGCCAAGAGTTCCGTGCAATGCCCCCGGTCACCGGATCGTACAACCCGAGACGAGGCGATATGTGTGCGGCCAAGTGAGTACCTTCATTAAAGAAAGCCCTCTTCTGTTCAAAATTTCATAAAAACACCCTTCTCGTCCCTTCACGACAGATTCTCGGAAGATAACGAGTGGTACCGTGCCAAGGTCGAGAAAATTGAAAAGGGCGGCAACGCTTCGATCCTGTATGTCGATTACGGCAACCGCGAGGTAAGAATTCCCTCAGCTTGTTCCCCCATGTATCGCAAGTACCTTAGATCCATTTCTGTATTACCGAAAGAAATGCTTGAGTCATATGCTTGCCAGAGTAAACCGAAGAAGATCATGATCAGCCTGGTTTATGCCTGGACTCGTCAGCTCCGCACACATACCAAACCACGAGCTTAAGGCCATCTCCCCCTGACCAACCGAGGCACTCTCGCAGAAACACCTAGCTCGGCACGTTTTGTGCCATTGCGTTCAAGTGTTCTGTGGGCTTCGTCGAGGAAGGCAATTGTGGAGATTTTAGGCGCTGGGTGTGCCACGGTGAGCCTCGTCCGGTGGCTGATGGATTTCGGACACTTCCCTCTACTCGAACTCAATAGTATGGTTAATACTATTCTCCTTTCCCTGACAGACCGTGCCCACGACCCGCCTAGCCATGCTTCCGCCTGCCTTCATCTCGGACAAACCGTTCGCGCACGAATACTGCCTGGCGCTGGTGCTTCTGCCTACCGACGAGGAAGACAAGGCCGACGCCCTTAAGGTGTTTGCCCAGGATGTGCTGAACAAGGTCCTGCAGATGAACGTCGAGTATCGGTGAGTACCAGAATTACAATTTGGGAATCGATGGTCAACCCAAGTACGGCAATAATGCCAAAGGACAGTTGGCCGCACACCCTAGCCACGTTCTTCTAGATTATTGCCAATAGAAAAGCAAGGTCTTACCACTTACGGTATTACCGGATCGACCTTCCGAAGCGTGATTGCACATCGGCAGTCATCGCCTCAAATAGATTCAACAGTCATATGCCTACTTCTCAGAAAATCCAAATTATTGTCTATGTCGTTGACACTAAATCCGTTTCCTAATCGCTCTCCCTACAGCGTCAGCGGTGCCGAGCACGTAACTCTCGTTGATCCTGCGACCAAGGATGACATCGGCAAGGATCTCATCAACGACGGTTTCTTGATTGCCGAAAAGAACAAGAAGGACCGCAGACTGCAGAAGCTGGTGAGTTTTCCATTTGCATTTGTGTAGTTAGTGAACGCATTCCATCATGAATAAGTTATTTGGTTTCTCGATCTATCAGTATGAAATCATACGATTGAATGATGGTATAGTAAAGCATATCTAGCGAGACTCTAAGAGCGTCGGTTCAGTAACCCTTAGCGACTTTCTTACCAGGGCTGAGATACAACCTTACAACTTAATATTTTATCGATTGGTATTGAAGGAGATGGAATTAATGACACTTACAATTTCCGTTGCAGCTAAACGATTACAAGGAAGCCGAGCAGTCCGCCCGCAAGAACCGCAACGGCATCTGGCAGTACGGTGACAGCACCGAGGACCAGGCCGGCGAGTTCGGCCTCAGCCGTTAAGCGTGGTTCCGGCACCAAACAAGCGATGATCACACCTGCCCCTAAACAACAAAAAAAAACATATATTATTACATTATTATCAAGAAAAACCCACTAATTGCAAGGAATGCCAGAAGCAGACAAAAATCATCTATTTAAGATATTATTCCAGTTTATTTTTTATTTTTATTTTTCCAAGTCGTGAAAAACACAAAACTTCCAAACACTTCTATTAGCTAGCAGCAGGAAGGGAAAGTCAGAGAACCGATTATGAAGAGCTCCTTATCACGTAGTAGATTCATTATTACTCTCCAGAGTCAGAGATTACCATAACACGACAAACAGAATTGTATAGCAGAAACTAACATCAAGTAGATGATTTCAGGGAAAACCAATAGTGCAACAAAAGTCGAAACAATCAACAATGGGTTTTCATCCTCGGTAGCAACAGCAACAGAGCGGCGTTGGCAAGCATTTTAAGAAACATTTACACACGACAGCCCTCACAAACCCACTAGGCTACTACAAACAACGGCTGCAGAATAATAGCAGCAGATTTGCCGTACTAAAAAAACAAACCTAGATGCGAATAAGACTGTTCCTCTCTCTTTCGCATTCGTTGTCAAGACTGTTGTAGTAGTAGTGTGAGTAACTCTATGAAATAACAACCACCGTCTAAACGCGATGCTTGGCAAACAGAAACGTAAGGAAAGAACACAACCACACAATGAAAACAGTCTAATTAATGTTAAAACACAAGACAGAAACAAAAATACGTAGATCTAAAAGGAGTAATTCAGCGAGAAAGAGAGAAAATTGTCCGGCTGGAACAGAATTTTTCGTTATTATTTTATTTTTCCTGTATGTTTTTCGCTACCCTATTAGAATCGAAAATTGATTAAGGTTTCTTTATGTTAATGGTGGAAATAAACTTTTGTGAAACGTTTTTTTGTCGAACGAAACAGGTTTGTTTTCTTTTCCTCTTCCTTGAGTGATGATGATGATGATGATGATGATAGTTCGCTCTGAATTTTGTCAAGTGCTTCTAAAGACGATGTAAATTGAAAAAAAAAATTGAATGGGAAAATTGGTTGCAAACAGAAAAAAAAGTATATATTTATGAAAGCAAAAGGGAGTTGTATGTCTGAAAGCAAGATCAAAATGAAAATATACGAAAAAAGCATGGATCGTCTGGTTACTAAATAATGCTCTATGATAAAATTTTAAATTGTTTTTGGTAATCCGAAAATTCCACTCCTTGAGCTCCGTCCTGTTCGCAAGTATCGACACGGTAGTTTATTATGCAGCTAACCAATTCATTCGAGTAGTTTAAATAGTTTTCTATCACTCGAATAAAAAAAGTGATGTGTAATGCCGTTGCGTGGTGGGTGTCAAACGGATTCGTCCGCCTCCTCTGATAACCAGGGGGTTATTCCGAGTGCCTAAGTGACTCTCTCTGTCACTAGAGAGGTGATAAATGTTACATACCCCCTTATTCTGCAAGTCACGTGACTCTCTGTCACCGGTGAGGTGACAATTGTCACCTCGTGTGAGGTGACTCTCCATGTAAATCAAATGGAGAGTCACCTCACACGAGGTGACTATTGTCACCTCACCGGTGAGAGAGAGTCACGTGACTCGCAGAATAGGGGGGATAGTGGCATGACTCGCTGTGCAAATCAAATGGAGAATCACGTCACCACAACGCGACTTTTATCACCTCACTAGTAACAGAGAGTCAATTCGACTCTCGGAATCATCTCCTCAGTGAGGAAACTAGAATTACGATTTTCATAATTACCCCTATTCTGTGTTTCGTTTCGAACGAAATTCTCATACAAAAAAATATTTTTTTGTATGAGAATTTCGTTCGAAACGAAATACAGAATAGGGGTGAATATGTTTCGTATGAACAAGCATTTTGAGCTCTGGAAATAGTTTCATACGACACGTATTTTATTCATAGCATGTCTATGAAAATTACATGACTCAAAAATGATTCCCATACGAAATGAGTCTAAATTTCATACGAGGCTGCAATGAACTTCATGAGTTGATCTTGTGTGAACAAAATCATACGTCGTTCGTATGAAACGCTGTTCAAAACAAAACAATCCCCCTTATTCTGCGAGTCACGTGAAACATGTAAATCGAATGGAGAGTCACCTCACACGAGGTGACTATTGTCACCTCACCGGTGACAGAGAGTCACGTGACTCGCAGAATAAGGGGGAATATGGCGTACGAGCCGAAATTGCTAGCGTATGTTAAAGTTCCGGCGCTAACTTGGGCTGTATTTAGAGGTAAAAACGCTGAATTCTAAATAATTTTCCGGATCCTACCTACATATTTAAAATTACAGAGTGTATGGCTTTAATAACAACCATTATCGCGTACTGGTAGATCCAGAAAAGCGATTTGATTTGGACGTGAATTGCATAATGGCTAGAACAAAACGTAAGAAGATAATGTAAAGATGTAACTGAGTTAAAGTGGGAACCAGTGGCGTCAATAGCCAGACAGATGGTAGTCCCGGCACTTAAAATTTTAAAGTTAATTTTTGAGTGATGTTGTTTATAATACTAAAACTCAAATGCAATGCTTCAACGTTTAATTTTTCTTTGTTTATAAAATAAATATGAATGTATGATTACAATTGATCATGTATACTTTCTTATCATCATGACCAGGCATGGAAAATCATTTACATTCATTCCATGCATTCATTTACATTCATTTGCCTCTAACTTTTTTCATCAACAGAATTCCGCGAAATGATGTATGAAACTTTTGTAGGTTTTATTATAAGCTACAACTTTTGCCTGTAATTCAAATCTGTATCTCTTATGCATCATGAATTAGAGCGGGCAGAACTTATTACTGTTTTTCAGTGAATGTGAGTACAGTAGTGGCTTCTATTCGCTCTGGTTCGTCATGCATAAGAGATACGGATTTGAGTTGTTGCCAAAAGTTGTAGCTACAAAAGTTCAATACGTTATTTTACGGAATTCTGTTGATGAGAAAAGTTAGGGGCAAATGAATGTAAATGAATGCACGAAATGAATGCAAATGATTTTCCATGCCTGATCATGACAAAAAGTTGGACTCTGAATCTGAACAAAACCGAAAAGTCGTTTTTAAAGTCCAACTTTTTGCCATGATGACTTAAAAAAAATATTTTTACACGCAAATTTCCTTTGATATAAAACTGTTTTTCCGAGTATTTTCCTGAAATCTCTAAGAAATCTTGGCTCTATTATGCCTTTTTACAGTATGCAGGCTCGCGGCATAATTTGTATAATTTGAAAGAAAAACAAACTACGAATAGCTACAATGAATTTCATAGTTTCGATTGGTTTTCGTATTCCTCTCGTTTCTAATTCATACGAATGAAACGTAAATTTCATACTCATAACGTATCATTTTCATACGACACATTTATGAAATCCATATGTGTCCAGGCTTGCAATTGCTCATTACAGCTAAAATGCTATTTTTCGTTATTATGAAACAATGGGATACTATAATGATAATTTTTATTTGTAAGATGCAAGAAGAGGTGGTAAAGATTGTATATGATATATAAAATTTGTCAATTTTGCTTTCAGAAGGTCACAACTAGCGATTTTATGATCGCTGATTGCTCGCTCATCGCGTTGCTCATCGTTACAGCTAATCGCTAGTTGTGACCTTCTGAAAGCAAAATTGACAAATTTTATATGTCATATACATACAATTTTACCACCTCTTCTTGCATCTTACAAATAATAATTATCATTATAGTATCCCATTGTTACATAATAACGAAAAATAGCATTTTAGGTGTAATAAGCAATTGCAAGCCTGTATGTGTCTACTGAAAAAACATAAATGATAACAGAGGTGCGCGTTCATATTTCTGTCGTATGAAATTCAAAATAAATTCTTTTGGTTAAATTCCATAAATATTTCGTATGAAATTCCAACGAATTTTTGCCTCAGTATACTATCGTTAGGGGGTAAACAAAGTCCTACACTGAGATAATTATCCCTACAAATTTTATAAACTACATCGTATGAACGCATGCAAATACAAGCCTGAATCAATTTCATCACACCAAATTTTGAAATCCTGTTCCAGCAAAATGAATTGCTGAATCGCATCCAGCAAAACTAACTTAAACTGAAAAATCAGTAAAATGAAATATTTTGCTGAACGTTCCAGTAAACTGTATGAAACGTCAAAATCAGGCCAAAATCTATCATTCGTACCTTGACGATTTATGATTATTTTTATGTTCAAAGTGTTCGACTCACAAAATATCATGGATATTATATAAAAAGAGCTTTTGTCATGAAGTAAGTATACTAAACTACCTTAGCAACCTGAATTAAGTTGAAAAACTTTCGTTTTTCTCTGAAATTTACAGTTTTCTTCATTCGCAAACCTACCCAGGAGTCTCCTTAATAAAGAAACAACAACAACAATAACTCACCCAGGATGGCCCATCATGGCTTCTTAGACATGATTTTTTAAAGAAGTGCAGTCACATTTAATAAATTACTATATACAACTACATGAAAGTGTAATAAAATATTTATTCCAATAATGCCTCTTTAAAAAAACAACAATCGAGATTTGCTGCTCTTTCAGCAAAATGATTGATGTTCCGTTTTGCTGGATAATCAGTAAAGTGCTGTCAATTTGACATTGGCCTAAATTGCTGGTCGTCCAGCAATAATATTTTGCTGGATAGATTGCTGAACTTACAGCTCGGAAAAATCCAGCAAAATATTGCTGGTTTCCAGCGATAAAAAATGAGTGTGTATACTTAAAAATCCAAAATCACATTTTTTAGTACAATCAGCCTATTCTACTCGCTAGTAAGGTGAGGTAACTAGTGAAGTGATCCTAGCCACCACGCGATAACTATTGTCACTTCACTCACCACGCACAGTAGTTCTCAATATAATAAATAATTCCGGAGTGATTTGAGAATTGGGTGTAATCGTATTTGTAAACAAACACGTCAATCGCCGATTTATCGCGAATAAAAGCTCAATTTTGAAAACTAATAACACTATGAGGTAGAGGTATGATTCCTCTTTCATTTGGTATAGCTTGTTTATAAAATTGAGCATTAATTCACGAGGAATCGGCGATTGAACTGTTTGTTTACAAATACAATTACGCCCAAATCTCAAATCACTCCGGAATTGCTTGGTAATTGCCGTTAACTTTCTCAGTCTTAATCTCACTCTAAAGACTACGATTTAATGTGCCCAACTCTTCGGTCATAGGTTTTAGTTCATGGTCCATGGCCGAAACGTCATGCAGATTAAATCGTTGTCGTTAGAGTGAGATTAAGACTTAGAAAGCCGTTAAACTAAGCAAATCACTCAAATACTAGTCGTCACCACCACTATTATAGTAATTAATCAACTCAAACTACATTTTTCATTCATATCTTTTATGAGTTTCATACGAAATCACAAATGAAATTGTTCGTAATATCCAATGATAGCTATCGTTCGTTTATATTGCGATTCATAGTTATATGCATGAAAAATCATACGATGGCTGATTGACAAAAAACTGACAGTTCTTCATAGTTCGGTCGTATGAAATTCAACATAAAATCTTGTCGCAAAAAAATCATACGATATTTCTATAAAATTCGTTTGATTAATAACCTCAGTGTAGGTTTTGCCTCAGTATAGGGTAATTGATTCTGGTTGGACCTATCCAAAAACTGATGATGGTTGGACCTATTTTTTCAATCGCTAGTTTAGTCAATCTTCGCTAAGTTTTTATTTTGAAAGATCACTTTACTATCATAAAAAACTCTTTTTCTTCAATTTGCATGGGTGTTTTATTGAAAAAACTTCAAAACAATTGAGTTTCAATGTGTTTTCAAAACAGTTCACTTTTCACGCATTAGCTCGTCATCATGCCTTACTTTCAAACATACAAAAAGGGAATATTTTTCACATTTATTTTTATTTTCATGCAGTAAAATACTGCTTTAAGGTGTAAAAAACACGTTAGTACGCCATTTATCCATTGGTTTCACTAAAATGTTTGAATAATTGACGAAATTCGAATAGATAAATCCAACCATGATCAGTATAGGTCCAACCAACATCATAATTCTTTACTGAATAAAAACGTTTTATAAAATCATTTGTTCATAATATTTAACTTTTTATGTTATTATTAGAAACAAGAAAGGTAGATCTTTCCCCTAATCACGCAGTTTTCATAATTATATGTTGAATTCATAAAAAAAAATACGACATGAATATTGACGTCGTGTGAAACCGGCCTAAATAGGTTCAACCATCATCAGTTACCCTATTATCGTTAGGGGGTAAACAAAGTCCTAGCTGTTGGATACACATGATGCTCTGATGCTGTATCCTTATGCAAAAAAAGAGAGCTCAACACCCCCTGGCGATAATAGGTTAAGGTATTATCGGAGGTTTAATTTACCCTATGTTTAATATTTTTCGACACCGTGGAAATAGCCCATCGGTTAGAATTCACAAGTGTTGGCATTTTGGTTTAATCTGTAATGAAAGTTATAATTAAATGCATCTTGGAGAAATGAAGAACAGTTACTATCCGAAATCTATCGACCGGTGGTGTTCGTCTGATTGAACGTCGGCTCACATCTCATTAATAATGAAAACGTCAAATAACAACGAAGTGAGCTTAAGACTGTGACAAATCATGCGATCATTTTTTTAAATTATTTTGTTTTAGATTAAATAATTCAAGTTATTAGTTACCTTTATGATAATAGTACAAAATCAAGTTACATTTACTTGAAAATTCACGTAGCTTTTAAGTGAAATTTATACGAAGATCATCATATTGTCCGATAAAATTTACGTGAAAATCACTTGATTGCTATATGAATCACTTCTTCTTCTTCTTCTTCTTCGCATTTCAAGCTTATTGCGTATCGCATATTAGCTTTCAACTTAGTGTTCTAGATGCACTTCCACAGTTAGGATCTGTTCATAAACTACGTAGACAGTTTAGGGGGGGGGGGGGTTCAATTGTGCACAGTCCATACAAATTTAAAAAAAATGTATGGAAAATTGTCTACGCAGGGGGAGGGGGGGTCAATAATCCCAAAAAAACTGTCTACGTAGTTAATGAACAGCCCCTTATTAATTGAGAGCTTTCGATGCCTGTACCATTTTTGCATTGGTATAATTGTGTGGCAAGTTCAATCATACTTCCAACACGAAAAATTCCTAGACCGGACAGGGAATTGAACCCAGCCACCTCCAGCATGGTCTTGCTTTGTAGCTGCACCTTTACCGACTGAGTTAAGGGAGGCCCAATATGAATCACATGGGACAGATTTTCATTCCCAAAACACGTAATTTTCACCTGAAAATATCTACGTCCTATTTCAAGTGAATATTAAGGGAACTTTTATTGCAGTGTATAGTTCCCGTTCGTCAGTTTGTTTGAAACGTCAACAAGCAAAACAATCATTACAAATTGTGTTCTCAACTTATCACGAGAGTTAACGGAAATTAGTGAAACATTACTGTAAACTGTGGAAAGTAATAGTTATTACTACCATTAATTGCATCGAGTAAAATTGTAATATCGATACCGTGTTGGCTGGAAGTTTAGGCATATTCGAAGATGGATGATGGTAAGGGATTTGTACAATATTTTGACATAGCCATGGTATAGAGCGTGCTCGTTTCAGATTCCTCGAAGATATTGTCCATGAATAGAACGCTAGATGAAGTCCGAATGTTGAGTAAGTACCAACTAGGGCAATCGGATCCGGATGCGTTCAAAAGATCCGGATCAGCATGTCTATTTTTGTTTTATAAGAACGATCATCAGAGTTCAATACATTTTTTCTCAGATCTCAGAAAAATTGCATGTTTATTCAGAAGGGTATACTAAGAGAATAGGTAACTACTTTCCACCATCAAGTCCCACAGATGTTGCCCCACCGGTGGTGGATAAACTAGATTACAGTATGGAAGTTTTCAGAAAATCGGTGATTTCTTTACAAATACTGCTTCTATCTATGGACAAATTTGTGCATTCTGTTCTTTGTAGAAAGAGCGATATTATGTAGAAATAATATATCGTTCAAATTGCATTATTGTTGATTGTTGAGTAGTGGTGAATACTGTCAGAAGCAGTACGAAGCACCCCATTCTGAAGAATTTTCCAAGGAAATATTAAAGAGAATTATGGAGACAAACATGATCCGAGCTCTTTGCTGTCGCTATTCTCATAAGTCCCAGGTAAATAGGAATTCCCTAGGACATGTGACTGTTATGCGAATAGCGGCTGTTTGGAGACTGACTCTACATGGGAAGAGTGTTTTAGAGCGAATTCCAAGAGTTTTCTGAAGGGATGGAGAGAGTGTTATTGATAAAAAAAAAGGTTGACTGCGGGATGATTTAAAATGAATTCCATCGAAATTATGTTAAGGTAATTTAGACATAGGTAGTGATGGATCGCTCTGTTGGGACTTTTTCGTTACATTTGTATGTATGTAATGTATGTAAGGTAGCCACCATCCCTTCAAAGATCTTGTCTTGTATACAGCTCCACAAGATCAATTTGAGCTACCGATCTGAATTCACAATATCGCTGTATGAAGGGCCAAAACGGAGGTGCGGACCCGTAAGCAGAGACACTTACACGAAATCCACGGGAATTTAAGAATCTCCTTCCAACGATAGGATCCAACAAATCGAATAACACAATTAGCAATACTAATTAAGCTTCCTACAGGATGGTTTGTAAAGAAGGGCGCGTCAATCTCATACTGAAACTGTTAAAGTAGAATTCACACCACCACAATCGAATCGGTAGGATAAAGAAAATGATAGTGTTTATTCCCTCCTAGACTCCGGTTGTCATACCACTCCATCGTCCAGTCCCAGGTCAAATGATACCCTGATGCTCCCTCCCAACCCAGTATTTATTTATATAATGAAAATAAATGTAATGGAGAAATGAAATATATCAAAAACAAAATAAATATGAAATAATGAATATAAATTTATATCGATAAAATAGTTGATATTCTGCAATGAAAATAATAATTATTTTACATATAAAAAGATGCAGCTCTATGTTTCCTTTGGAACTTTTTCTTTACATTTCATTATAAAATGCTAACGTAAAATCCAGTTGAATTTTCAGTTGACCCATCGTAAAATATATAGTTTAATATGTACTATTAATCTCCCTATCACAATGCAAAACTTCCGAACCGTAGAGCCACACTCTCTTTTTACTGAAGATGCACTAGAGAGCGCTCTCAAGTGTACCTTCAGTGAAAAGACAAACTGTAGCTCTGTTGTGCAGAAATTTGAATTTTGATAGTACTATAAACTATTTATTTCAAGATGAGATAACTGAAAATTCAATTGGATTTAACGTAAGCTTTCTATATTAGAAAGTAATGCGATTTTGGGACTAATAGCGAAACCGAACATTTTGTCAGTGCGAAGCTCAATCTGAGTCAAAAACCAACGATCAATTTGATGTTTGACAGAAAACAACCAGACCCCATCTTGATACCCGATCCAGGTTGGAACTGAATAATAAACGAATTCGCTATAAGACTTGTGAGCAGGGCGTCACAATATCAGCTTCCATCGACAAAAACGATGCGACGAAGAGATTACTAGTTTTCTTTTTCTGTTGAAATCGAACAGCTTCGCAGTATTCTAGAACCTCAGTCGGCGTCTACAAATAAATCTAGCATTCAGAATCATAAGGGCCTAACTGCGATGATCGATTCTCTTCATCGATTTTTTCTTCGTATTACTACACTTAAGTGAACCAATCTTCCAAAGTTGTCCAATACAGTGGTGCAAATGGTTGCATTGACTAGCAGAAGCAGCACCAAACGCACCGAGAATATTAATCTAGCTGAGTTATTAATAAAAAAAAGAAAATCGATGAAGAGGACCAATGATCGCAGTTAGGCCTTTTATGATTCTGAACGTTAGAAATGTTCAATCGCTTGTCTCTCTTTCTTTCAAGTTTCGGTGAAGCGGACGAGTGAAAGAGCGCTTGATTTTGATAGTTTCGTATTTCATGAAGATGAAACACTTCAAAACATGACATGACATACATGACGGAAAATGAAAAAAATATATCGACAGTGAGCATTCATAAGGGCGTATACGCGATGATCGATTCTCTTCATCGATTTTCTCTTTTCTTAATAACTCGCTAGATTTAACGTTTGTCGGTGCGTTTGTTATTGCTTTTGAAAGCCAATACAACCTATTACAACTCTACATTGAACAAATTCTACAAAATTGTTTCGCTTAGCTGTAGCAATGCAAAGAGAAAAACGATGAAGAGAATCGATCATCGCGTATACGCCCTTATGCATGCTCACTGTCGATATATAAGGCATTTCTCACGTGAAAACACTTGAAGATTACACGTAATATGTCCATCCTCATATTTATCTAAAAAAAAAAGTAACGAAAACGGAACATTACGCATATTATACAAATTGAAAGAGCGGTGATAGAGTGTCGGTGAAAGGAATAGTTTGAGAATTACAAAAAATACCATCCTATATTAAGTAACCCATCGCAGGTTTTAATGCCCAAAAATAAGTTGCTGCAAATTGATTGTAAGTGGCATAAGTTACATACAAGTAACCACAACGCAGTATGCTTTTAGGGTAATCAGAAAAAGAGCGTCATGACCTGTCATGACTACTATTACTACTTTTCATTAGGAATTCCCCTCAGCTTTCCCTATTTAATCTTCCTTCGATAGGTTGTTTAAACAATGATGTTCTCCTTAGAGTTCCTTTAGAACTGTTTTCAGATTCATATTTCATTGGAATTATAATGACAATTCTCTTCAAAAACGTATCAAGAGTTCCTTGAAGCTCTTGTCAGAATTTTATTGGGTTATTGGGATTGTAGGTAAAAATCCCTTGGAATTATCATTTGAATCGCCCTCAGAGTTCCTTTGAAATTTTTCTCAGAATTCGCTTTAGAAAACTCGTGGGCTTCTCCTTACAAGTCCGCCGAAAACAGCTACCTACTTCCAACATTGTCAGGATATTGAGAGATAAGCACAGGGTTGTCAGGTATTTTTTTTTTCAAATATCAGGGCACTTACGAAAAAAATCAGGATTAATCAGGTTGGTGTTTAGGGTTTAGGTAGTTGTGGAGAAAGTATTAAAATCAAACGAAAAAAGTCGTTACTTTCATTAAAAGTCGGAAACTTTGGAGTGGTGAGCGAGGGCTGGGCATCAATTATTTAAAATCAGGATAAATGAGACCTTTATCATTTTATCAGGATGAAGATAAAACATCAACATACCAGGATACACGGCCGTTCAATGTAACTCAGTGACTGAGTCAAATTGTATTGCTATCTATTTTTCTCTCTAATCTAATCTAACACCAGAGCTCTGTGTAACTCCAACTGTTATGTTGAGTAATATTTCCGTGAGAAAAAAAGAGATAGCAATACAATTTTACCCAACCATTAAGTTAGATTTAACGGCCGTACATACACATGACCACTAGCGCAATAGAGGTAACTAAGCCCTACACTGGTGTATGGCTTAGGTCTAATTTTGAGCCTAAATATTAAGCACAACCTGCTCTTTACTTGTTTTTCAAGCGGATTTTTTTTTTCTCAAAATGGAATGTTTGCACTGCAGATGACTTCTAAATTGATTTGTCTTTCCTTACATACCGTAAAATTTGTTAAAAAGTAACAAATTGTTGAGATTTTGTTAAAAATCTAACACTGCTTTTCTGATTTGAATCGATTAAAAACGGTAACAATATTCTTCTAATCTCCAGATGCCAAAAACGAAAAACTGCTCAAAGATTTCGGCATCGATCTCACTAACTTGAGCGACTCCGCCCAGAAAGCACTGGATGACTACGCCAAAATCAAATATCTCACCGGCCTAACGGAAATGGACGCATCCTTTGTGGACGGGTACTGCTACCAAGAGCAAGCGAATCGTCTCGGTGCCCGCCTTCAATCGATCACCCTCAAGGCAGACATCAAAAAGCTGAAGGCGGACCTCCAGCACGAGGAAGCCGATTTGGCCAAGTTGGAACACTTTGTCACGGAAACGCGGGCCCAGTTGGTGCCGGCGGATGAGATGGAGAAGTTGCGTGTCACCCGGGAAACGCAAATCGAGATGCTGCGAAGCAAACAGAAGACTCTCATGGAAAAAGCGGACGCAGTGAATCTTGATGAGTTAATTGCCAAGGTCAATGTACTTGAGACGGAGGAGAATGCTTGATAGTGTTTTTTTTTTTGTTGTATCGTTCATTGACAATAAACGTGACTAATCATGTGTGATTCCCCCAGGCACTGCTGTTGGAATAAGTCACTACCGTTTTGAGCTGTGATCAAGTAAATATGTAGGGAGAAAAATAAATTACTTTTCGTCACATATGTTACTCGCGTGATGTACTTTTTCTCATGGAATCGGGTTTTGTGTGATTCCTGGCCATGTTGAGGCCGGCATTCCTTTCACTTTATCCTCGACTTGATCTGGATGGTGCATGCTCGTGGTGGTGATCGCATTATAAGCACGGTTGCAGATACTCATTTCGCATAAAAAAAAATGTTTTTCGGAATTATGAATTATGTTTTACTTGTGGGGGTCGAGGGGGGCAAGAGTGCTATTAATAGGAAGCTAAAAAAAAATCCTACAGTTATACTGTATCAAATTTGATTATACATTATGATGTAAATAATATCAACAAAATCTGAAAAACTTACAGGTTGACTTGCGTGCTTAATCAAGCAAATATATGTTTCTTCCAGGGTGGCCAGTGACTTTCCATTTTGAAATTTCCGTTTTTTCCCGGTTTTCCCGGTTCAAATCTTAAAAATTTCCCGGTTGTTGATATTCAACAAAAAACGAAATTGTATGCATTTCTTAAAACGTTGCCAACTGTAAATTTTCAGTGAATATTTGTGGGAAAAATAAAAGCCAAATTACAGAAAGTGTTTTCTAAAGCTATAGGAAAAATTCAACTCTATGAGTCACTTAATGCATTCAAAACAATTTATTGATCTTTCGAGATACTTTGATAAATCGAATTCTATCACTTTTTATGCTCGATACATTAATGATTTCAGAGATTAAGGTCACTGGGTCAAATGCTATCTGGATGAATTGTGAATAATAAGAGATTTAATTAAAAAAATGAACTTGATACAAATGAGAATTAGAGCAAATTGATAGTGATAGTGATCACTCCATTGTCTATACTAACATAAGATTTAGAGATGAACTAGCCAACGACAAAAACATAAACATTAACCTCTCAGTACTCGCGCTGATGTACAAAGTTAAAAACGAAAAAAATGTGAAACCTACTGACACGTGAAACTAAACATAGTTCATGAAATTTAATACCCACGACCAAAAGACCAATACTTGAAAAATAAAATTACTGAAAGATTATTTACTTAAAAGATAGATTCCCAAGATTCTGGGGCTTTGAAATTTGTGTAGAGTCTGAAAACAAAATTTTTCTTCAAAATTTGGGATGAATAACAATCTTTGTGATTGAAATTTCCCAAGATCCCAGATTTGAAAAAAAAATATTTATTAAATAGTCGTGCAGTCATAATTGTCAAGGCCCTGAGACTTGGAAGCATTTTAAGGGTTAAAACAAATTACAGAGCAATCGATAAAATCTTGCGGACAAACCCTGGAATTTAAAAGTATTCAAAGTGTTGATTTCAAACAACTATTGAGGAGGATTCCCACATAGTTTTCGAATGAGAAGCTCTGAGCAGAATTCCAGAACCATTCTGACATGAAGTCCTTAGAAATTGTTAGAAAAATTTGGAGGGATTTCTGTGGAGAAGATTGCAAGTTCTAAATTAAATTGTTAGGTAATTTTTGAGAATCTCAAGAGAATTATCATGAGAATTCAACAAGACACAGAGTTCTAAGAGTGTTCTGGCGATAATTTCAACCCTAGTGTGAAAGATTCATCAAAGAGCTCCAACAAAATTTATTCCAAAAATTTGCTAATAATTAGAAAGAAATTCTTTAAAATACTCCAAGAGGTTTCTAAATAATTCCAAATTTCGAAAGAATTATGCTGTTATGAATAGAGTTAAAATAATTTTTTTAAAAGGATTTCAATGAAATCAAAGTCTTCGAATAGGTTTAAGGGAATTCTAAGACGGATTCCAAACAATTTCTAAGAAGGGGTTTCAAGGAAATTCCAAAAAGAATTCAACGGTAATTATTACGCAGAGTGTTTTATGGTTAGTTTTAGAAAAAAAATCTATAATAATTCAGAGCAAAATTCCAATTTCATGCTGAAATTCATATCATGAGAATTTTGAATAAAATTAAAACCCGGGAAAAGAATAGTTTAGTTTTTACAAACATTTCGACAGTGAGCATGCATAAGGGCGAATACGCGATGATCGATGCACTTCACATCTGAAATTGAATCGCAAAAATCAATTTGAAATATTGTTGAGTGATTAAATTCTAAAAACAATAAGGCGGGAATCTGAAGAAAATTATGCAGCAAATAGAGAAAGACATTCGTTTGGTAAAAAATCACTCTGTTTTAATGGTTTATTCTGAAATTCTGGTGTGAAAATTTAATCCTATGGTGTGGTTAATTCTGGGTACTGCGAACACAGCCGTTTTTGTTTTGCAAGTCAGCAGGAAACAACTTGAAAATTTTCCGATATCACAAATTGTTTTGCTAATGCACTGCTCACAATTTGCATATACATGCTGTCGAAAGTTCACCCTTTGCTCCATAAATAACGTGTACATGGTGTTGGGAGTGCACCTACCCACATGACTCTTATAAAGTTTGTTTGCATTCTTCCTTCAGCAGTTCGTGCAGGTTCGTTCGTTCGTTACATTGTTTACATCCGAGTATTTGAGCAAGTTTTTTGTTGAAGAATATTAGTAAAAAAATGCCGAAATGACAATATTTTCAACATTGACCACAATACTTTCTCTGCCGACGGGGATTGTATGAGAAAAGTATCACTTTTAGCAGCTCTAGATCGTTGGATTCTTTTTGACAGCACCAGTTGGATTCTTTTTGACAACCATTTCGTGTTTCTCCGCACCACTCAGGGTTAATTTATTTTTCCCGGTTCTCTCATCGAAGTCCTGGGTTTTTCTCGGTTACTTTTCAAATTCCCGAATATTTCCCGATATTTCCGGTTTGCTGACCACCCTGTTCTTCAACTACTACTCAGAATACCTTGGAATTCTGTGCTAAATGTTCGTGAAATTTCCTTAAGAATTTAATTTAAGTATTCCAGCATTTTTTTTATTTACCTCAGAACACGATTTCTTCGACATTTTTCTCGAATCTTGCATAAAGTTGTCTTGTGAATCCTTTGAAATTATTACCAGAAAACCATTTATATTGTTTATATTTCTTTTTCAATCCTCCTTAGAATTCACTTGCTATTCTCCTCACAATTCGCATACAATTCTCTTCAAAATCACCTAAGAATTCTTCTAAGGTCTTAATCCTAGAATTAATTTAGCATTCTTGCCAGAGCAGGTTGAATTTTTCTAAGAGTTCTTCTCAGTATTTTTAATTTTCAAAATAAAAAAAAAATCTTATTAGAATCCTGAACATTTTTCCAAGACCTTACAATTTCCCAGCAACTGTATTTTTCCAAATTTGGAATCTTGAAAAAAAATCTAAATCAGAAATCTAGAAAAAAAAAATCTAAAACCCACATTTTGACTATTTTTCTCAGTTTCATATTGTTGAAAAAAAAAATTAAAGGGTTGTGTCCTAGACACGACCGCGGTATGACGTAGAACCTATTTATCTATCACTATCTATGATGCATGATATATGCATTTAGGTTAACATCCGACGTCCCGTCCGTCCGTCCCTTACATATTTTGCAGAAAAAATACATCCGAAGTCCCTCCTTTTTTACACATTCTGCACAAAACATACTTTCTAAGCCCTGCAACTGACAGGATTTCCCGCCATTTTATTATGAATGGGGGCAGGGCAGAACAATTCTTTTGTGCAGAATATGGAAAAAGGATGGCCTTTGGATGTTAATATAATTTCATAAATAGAGGTACCAGATATGTTTTAGAGTCAGTTGGGTGTTATTCACCAACATAATATCATCGAATATGTCTTTCAAGCAATTCTTTTTTCTCAAATTTGAAAGTTTTGGGGTGGAGCAGAAAGTTTCTTTTGTGCAGAATATGAAAATAGGATGGACTTTGGATGTTAATATTATTGCATAAGAAGTACCAGATATGTTTTACCGTCAGTTGTGTGTAATTCACCAACTTAATATCATCGAAAATGTCTTTCCAGCTATTTTGTTCTCAAATTTGAAAGTTTTGGTGTGGGAAGAAATTAAGGGAAAAACTTCTGTTCTTACTAATAATTGTGGTTTGTTTAAAATTTATTTCCCGGAAAAAAGTGATCGTCAAAGTCTATGTCTTTTTCGGGTTATTGTTGAGGGGAGGGGGGGGGGAGGGGGGAGAGGTTGTTGTGAAGGAGGGGGAGAGGTTGTTGTGAAGGGTGGAGGGGGTTTACATACATTGCTTTTCCTCATTCTTCATTGTATCGCATTCCTCATTGTGGTCACGCCGTCATCCACCTTTAGCCGTTGACTTGGTCCTGCTTGACGCAAAGCGACAATGAGCAAAAGCACGACAGCAGCGCTGTTTATATCTTTTCAGGTTCAACCAGAACGATGTGCAACCGAACCTGATAGGATTTCCCGCCGTTTCTTATGAATGGGGCGGAGCAAAAAGTTTCTTTTGTGCAGAATATGTAAAAAAGGATGGACTTTGGATGTTAATATATATATGTCTCCTGTTAAGCATTTTTTTTTTGAAAATGTTGGTTCTGCATGTAAAAAATTAATTGTTTATACATAATTCAGTGCCAACATTTCAAAGGGGCGTAATTGCTTTTGTAAACAATGACTTTAGCCGTCAATTTCTCGCGAATGAAATCTTACCTCTCCAAAAAGACAATGCTAACTGGTAGAGGAAACATTCCTCTACCTGCTGGTGTCATTATTTTTCATGAGTGAGCTTTTATTCACGAGAAATCGACGGCTAAAGCCATTGTTTACAAATGCATTACGCCCCTTTGAAATGTTGGCACTGAATTGTGGTTTGCTTAAAATTAAAAAAAAATCATCGTCAAAGTCCATGTCTTTTTCGGGTAACGTTAAGGGTAGGGGTTTTTACATGCACGTTTTTTCAAGACTCATTCCTCATTGTGGTGGACACGCCGCCGTGATCCACCTTTAGCCGCTGACTTAGTCCTGCTTGCTGCAGGACCTAGTGCTACGCCGTTCGAAGCGGTAATGAGCAGAGGCAGGAGAGCAGCGCTGATTTATATCTTTTCAGGTTCAAGCAGAATGATGTGC